TTCTCACACTGTAAGGAACAGTCCACTCATTGGGAAGCTGACTACCTACTTGAAGAAATAAGATCCAGAAATGAGAAATTTAAATAAAAATAACAATCTACCATGAGTGGAAAAAGCTACCCATATTACCTTCCCTTGCCTCTGGGCCCAAGCTAGAGATTTACTGTGGCAATTTTAACTAGTATGTTTTAGTGTACTAGTTAAATAATGGAATTATTTATTGTTTAGGTTTGATGCAAACATATATAATGCAAGTTCCAGGACATTCAGGCTACACAGAGAAATCCTGTCTTGGAAAAAAAATAAGAATATATATTAATGTAGACACCATAGCAAAGACTACATTGTAAACAGTGTGATAATTTTTATGGAAGAGGGGCATTTCAGCTTAAAAGGCTGAGCTCTGTGTTTATGCTACTAAGGTTCAAACCATAGCTATATTCACTAGTATAATACTACTATCTGCTCAGTAATTTACCTTTACCTGAGACCTAAATACGAAGATCCAAAGACAAGTGTCAGTCCTGAAGTGCCACTTCATAAGAGGGACTTCTTTTTTGAAGTACAGCATATTAACAGAGATGCCCATAACTGGACAATGTTCAGAAAGTCCTAAATGGAATATCTATATGTGACCCCTCCTCTCACAGCCCAGAGATCTATGCCAAAGAGGAGGTGGAAAGACCATAAGAGCTAGAGGTGGTAGATGTCTCCAAAACAACAGCCTCATCCAGACAGAACAGGGCCAATGAGCATATGACCTCCTAGAGGCCATGCCAACATGCCCAAACCTTGCTCAGCTTTGATTCAGACAAGGTCTAAGCATGGAGAAGGGGAAGTGGCCACAATGTCCCACCCCTAACCAAGAAAGTATTTGTAACTGATACCTTCTAGGAAGGGGAAAATCTGCTTTTTCCCACTGAGTCTTACCGGGTACATCAAGCACACTCAATGGAAATCCCCACGCCTAGGAATAATTGGCCAACACAAAACTGTCTTTATGAGATTTTTGTACACTTGCTGTTTTGTTTTGCTATCTTTTGTTTTATTTTTTCTAGTTTTTTTGTTTGTTTTTGAGAGAGGAAGAACATGAAGTTGGGTGGGTAAAGAACTAAGGGGATTTGGGGGAAAGTAGGAAATACACTTAAAATATATTGTGTGAAAAATGATTTAAAATGGATTTAAACAGAAGAATGTACAAATAAGCCAGAACTATGGAAATCATCACAAACTCAGGACTTACAAGAAACAGTCAGGATGGGCTTGAGCTCAGGAGTCAGACTTCTCAAGCTGAGATGCAGAGCCAGGGAACAAATGAAGTGGACAGAGAACATCAACAAAGCCAATGTAACATTTGAAAGAAAATCCTAAAAAAATGTCCTCACAGAAACTCCAAGGCTGTGAGCTAACAGAAGTGCTATTCAGTTCCATGATTTAACCACCCTTTCTGTATATACATATTTCAGAGCAACATGTTGTACAGGGTAAATAGAAACAATTTAATTTCAATTTGTCAACTAAAATAAAATGTCCGACTGCACTTCTCAAACCTGGAAATTATTACATTTCCTGAGTAATAAAACTGACAGTATAACATTATTTTTCCAGCATTGGTTATGTAACAAGAGGAATGTGTTTTGCTAAATAATCAGAGCTATCTGAGGGCAGCTTTTCCACAAGCCAGAAATTTATTTGAAGAACACCCTAAGTTGAGAGCTCCTGGGTTCCTGGTTTGGGCAGGTGGAGGCTTCTTCTCACTAACGCCTCATCAAACGTTCTCCTATTAGGAAGGATGACTGGGAGAGGCTAACAATCGTCCTCCTTTTTCCTCCCCTGTGTACCAGTGCCTCCCTCTGCCATCCTTGGCTCATCCTTGCACACACTCCTGTCAGACAACTTTCCTCAAAGCGCTTCTACCCCGAGACCTTGGCTGGAGCACCACTCCTTACTGCCTGACTATAGGACCATTTACACTCTCAGGATCAGTCAGATGCACAAATTACTGCCCTGATTTTCACAAGCAAATTCAGCCTTAGATTCTCTGTCTGTAAAAAGTAAGACTAGAAAGAGATCTCAAGAATTTTGGTGTAAGACTTAAATGAAGGGAGGGAGGAGACTATGAAGTACTTAATACGGCAATTGTCTCCTAGGTGGTATATTGTTATTAACATTACTCTACTAGACAGAAATTTTGACTTCCCAAAAGAAATAATTATTAAGGTAAGAAGAGAGTCTGTAGCTGTATTGTACATGTGTCTCACCAGTGATCATAGTCAACAAACTCATTTTTCACCAAACTACATCAGTGTTTGGAAAGGGCATTGGAAGAATAATTCATCGTTAACATAAACCACACCATGAACACTACTGTTTAAAGTTGCAGCAAGATGGTACATTTTCCAGACTATGTAAGAAGTATTTTACAATTGAAGAATATTATACAAGGGAGGGTGTGGTGCTTTGTGATCTCAGGACTTAAAATAGAAAAAAAAAGCTATTTGTTTTTTCATTTCAAGAAAATAAAAATCAAATTGAAGAGAGTTTAGCTATCAAAGCCTTAATTCTGAAATACTACCAGGGTAAGACATGGTGGAGGAGAACTGCTGGAATTCCACAGCTCAGGTGTCAGGAAAACAGCATCAGGACTGCAAGGACCACGGGGACATCCCACTAACCCTCAGGAGGACTAGCTTCTCAGAAGCCAACTGTTAGTGCAGCAATGCTACCTCAACACCGGGACCCTGAATTCTGAAGGACAGGTTTCTGAAGTCAGAAGGAGTAGGGCCACCTGGAGACATAGTTTGCAGATTCTGTGGTTCCTCTCTGTACAGGACAGGTTTTCTGGAAGGTCTGGGAAAGGCATGTGAGTTTGCTGTTGCCCTTGTTTATTCTCTTCTCCCACTTGCTGACAGAGGGATGCCCTCTTCCCTCCTGTGTCTCCATACCTCTCTAGAGCCCACAGCCCAGAGTATTGGGTTGTGGTGAAAAATCAATTCAGGATCTTCTTATCTCCACATTAATCCCCATAGCCAGTTGTTTTCATAAGGGAGTCCCCACAGGCTGGGCCTGATGTACTGACCATTAGCAAGGAAACAAAGGAAGAGTGGGAAAAGCTGATGTTGGAGCTTTTGGGGGGGCTGGCATAGCAATTCGAAGGGGAGGTGGTGGTAGTTAAAAGATGTCATTTCCATGCAGCTATGAGAGAAGACAAGGAATCTTCCTCTTCTCCTTGAACAATGAAGACTCCAGCTAATTTTAACTAGTCTGAGCTAAAAAAGAAACCCTGCAGTTGACTGTGAGTCACTGGCCCCCAGGGAATAGGAGTTGGGGGTGTGTGAGAGCTGTGTGTGTGTGTGTGTGTGTGTATGTGTGTGTGTGTGTGTGTGTGTGTGTCCATGCATATGTGAGTGCAAACTACTGTGTATAATCTCACAGTGCCCAGAGCCCTGGAGATCCTCGAACAGTTCAGTAGCACAGGCCAGATTCATTAAAAACCCTGGCTACAGGCCAGCAGTTAAAATTGAAGCAGCATATTTATTGCATTTTGTTCAAATAAATCTGAAAATGTGTGAATCATATTCCTTGGAGAGATTGGGAGAAGAAGTAAACAACATCAGGCTAATACTTACAAGCCGCAGTGGAGAGAGAATGCAGACATAGTGGGTCTGCTTCCACAGGAACTCTGAGCTGCTAGCCCTTTTCAGGTGGGAACAGAGGGGCCCTGCTCTCCCACCACCTCCCTGCTCAGGCTTGGCCTTGACTTCACTTGAAGGTAGGGGCTCGCTCTGGGTTTCTCAATTGTTCCTTGGCTTCTCCCACCCTGCTTCCTGGGAGCAATTTCTCCCTGACACTGTGCCTGCCATCCTGCTTTGCCACAGCAGCTGCAAAATTAGATTCAATTACAGGTTTTCCTAAAATAGTATATAAGAGATAATTCCCCCACCCACCTTGCCACCATCACCGCCAGTCCAGTTCCTCTGAAACTCAGCAGGAGCTCATTGTTGAAGCAAAGTGAAATAGCCCGGCATCAGCCACACCTGGACTGCAGTCTTTTCTGTTGCTTAATATCCTGCAGTAATCCTCAGAGAGCTTGCCTGCCTAAGGGAGTCATAGCCAATAGGTGGAAACTGGAGATTTGGAGACCTCAGTTTCTTTGAGTGCAAAATACTAATAATTCTTCAATGGTAATCAGGAGGAATTTAATTGTCCTATAAAAACTCCAAAGTTAAGAATGTAATATACCATGTTTCACATTTCCTAATTCTTCCTGAATTATGGGATGGAGATGTAATAATTAGATACTACTTAGGTAAAGGCTCCATGATGAGATCAACAAGGTAAATTCAACCCAGTCATCATCAGCTAATCCATAAATCCAGACTTGGAGCAATCCCTTTTTGCAGAGAAACTCGGGAATGAAGTAGAAAAGATTGCTAATCTGCAGTTTCAATTCATCCCATCAGTTTGTTTCTACCTCAAGGTGGTGGCAAACCCAGATCCTTCTTTTCTGCTCTAGCTGTGTTCAAAGCCACTGCTTTGTACTCTGTGTGGTGTGGATCCTAAAGAGCATGAGGAGACTAAATTTACCTTCCCACAGCTTCCTCTTCTAGCCCTAGAACCCTAGATGCTATTTAGATGCTTGGTGGCTAGGCAGAAAGTCCAGACAAAAAGAAATCACTTCCAAGTATCAATGGGCCTCATGTTCACGCCCACTTTTAAAAAGAAGAGACTGTGATCCCGAGATAGAGAGAGTAAACAAGTCCTATTTCATCATCACAACTAGAGTCTGAATTTGGAGGCATGCAAGCAAAAATGAGAGTCTAACCCAAAGAACCAGACACAGAATTCCCTCTGCATTTGTTCACTGAGGATGTGCCAAAATGGAAATTAACTAAGCAGTTACTAGCCCAGATGCTAACACAAAGCTAAATTAAGTTTGCCAGTAAAATAAGAACTTATATATGAATGTGTTCAATCTATAGGACCCTATCACTGGCTGCCTCCATTGATGTGCTATTCACACGTAGCAGAAGGATGGTAGAACTTGACTTTGGATGAAAAGGATGGATGTTCCTCAACTCATCAGCATGTCCTGTCATTTGCTCCTTTCACATTGATGGCAGGTGAGAGCTAGGAGAGGATTCAGAGACCAGTGACTAAAACTGGGGCTAACTGGGATCTGTGGGATTGAAGTGGACTGCTGTAAGTCTTTCTCAGGACCCGATGAAGTGCAGTAGGTTCTGAAAGATAGCCCTAGGCTGTCTTTACAGCATATTCACTCTAATAGTCTGGCTTCAGCTGTGCAGCAGTCATTAGACTACTCTACCCTTCCCACCTTGGGGAATGTCAGTCCCTGAATTCAGGGTTCATTTTGTGGTACTGTCTTGGAATTGAGAAAGAAATGTTTTCTTTCAAACAGTGTTTGCTTGTTCAATGAAAGAGTAAAGAGATTATTGAATTAAAGCAGACCCTGTGAAGAAAGTCAGATGTTTAAATACATCTGTGCATTCCCAAGTGTGTTGGAAGCAATAGGCATTTTTTTCCTGAAAGCAGATTAAATGACAGAGTAGGGGAAACCTAGTAGGGAAGTCTTGCCTATCAGCTGCATGATTAGAGCTTGAGATTGCCACTCGGCTGGGGAATGCTGATAACTGATACAAGGTAAGGCCATGCCATGAACAGACACTGTCCCAGGCAGTTTGTGTCTAGGAACTGTGGATCTCCCAAGATTCCCAGGTGGCTGGGGCAGTTAGATTTCTCTCGGTCATTTGTGTCGTGTGTTATCAGATGTAGAGCAGAGAGGAAGGGTCAAAAGTAAAAAAGATAGCCTCTTGGTCTCCTCAAATCATCTGGACCACCAAGACTGCCAGAGCATGGGGTGCTGTGGCTGCCATCAATCCATCAATAAACTCTCTGTTGTAGATATCAGCAGGGAAGTGCTTCACCTGGAAGTCATCTAGACAGATGAGAGTTTTCTAGAAACCATTACCATGCCTGTAAATGCCAGCCCCACCACTTCCATTCAGGAGTGCAGGGGGATTATTATTAGTTTTCTTTTGTGTTTAGGGCCCCACAATTTTGGAGAGCCACAGAATTATTTATCTTCACAGCGACAGATTATTTTTAGAAATAGCAGAGGACTCTCTTAGACTGCATCTCTGACATGCAAACGAAGCAATTTAGTCCTTATCTGCCAACCAGCTCCTTTATGAACATCTTAACTGTCTGAACTCTTATTTCTTTGCTTGACATTACTGAGAACCAGGTACCATGTCACTAACAGCAATATCTGTACCCTGCAGCTCACAGAAATGAAATAGCTAGCCAATGTGAAATCCATCTAGGCTGCCTCATCTGTACTTTCTATGAAAACCATACTAAGACTTCCACACACTCATTCTGCCCACCTCCTACCTGCTCACTGACTCTGGAGCTTTTCCAAGTGGCCCTGCAAGACGCACCATTGCATGTTTATAGGCATCTATGACCATACCTGTCTTACTTTCCATGTCTGTGTGTCATTCCACATGTGATTAAAACAAGACCTGGGGACATTACATCACATGAAGATTCAAGTTTGTTCTTGTCTATCTCCAAGGTCGCAAGGATGGGGAGATCATTTCTCTTACAACTTCTGGAATCTTTACTGTAAGCTAAATAACTAAGGTCTTAATTTTATTTTTCATGACACAATCTTTTTTTTTATTTAAAAAGCTTTCAAGGGTCTCTGATAAGCAATAATAGTAAGTATTAAGTGTTACCACATCTGGGGTATTTTCCATGGATTATTCTATTTCATTCATACACTCCCTACTAGCCAAGTTCCAAGGAAAACATGTCACCCCAAATCACACAAGTAGACAGCCGTAGCATCTAAACCCATTTGATTAAGCTGTTCAGGCAGTACAGAGGCAAAAATGCACAGCAATGGGTAGGGGCAGCAGGTCTTGGAAGATCAATGAGATTATTGTGTATTGTTCCATAAAAGTGTTCAGCCTCACCTCTGGAAGCAAGAGACACTGTAGATGTTAGTAAACTAAGTATGAAGGTGAGCAGATCCTGCAGCATTTTGTATTTATTTTTCTGTTTCTGTTTGTTTTTTTAGTCTGAGTGAGACTTTTTGGATGCAGATACCATTTCTTCATCTTACTCACCTAGGTTAGCCTTTTGAATCTCTGTGATAGAACAGCACATGCGCTCTCTAGCTGTCTGAGGTCCAGGCTGTGGCAAGAGCTTCTGGACTGAATAGGGAACTCCTCTGGATGATCTTGCTGGTTTATATGTTTAATCATTGATTAGAGTCCTACAAGAGCTCACTCAGGTTCTGACACTGGGGTGAATGCTAAGGTCATAGTGTCTATTCTTTTCTTCAACACTGAAAGTCACAGTCCTAGCTCAATGAAGTCAGTTCAACTATAGTTGTGTTTTATCTGTTAATATTTCATTTGCCCTTTGCAGACTGTACCCCTGGACCTGCTGCACAATCATTCTCACAGCATCAATATCAATAAATTGTTTGATCACGTGGCTTACACTGTCTGATGAACAGAGTAGGCCAGCTCCTCAACATGGCTTATACAGGCATCACTTGTCTTTTGAAATAGCAGCTTTGTTGTCCTTCCCAACCCTGCTCTGTGTTAACGGTGATCTGAAGGAATTACTTACAGCTTCTCACCTGTAATTACTGACAGCTCTGTTCTGTAGGGTTACCTTAAAGAATGAATAAGTCCTGATCATTGCTTATAAATGTCTGATGGTATTTATCAGAACGTCTGACTAACACACGATACACAGATACACGATCAGTGTCTGCTGTTACTATTTTATTTGTGAATTAAGAGGAGGAGGAAGCATTGAGACCAATGCTTTATTTTGGTGTGAAGGTTACCACCAATGAGAGCCATCAATAGTGCATGCTATCTCCAAATAAGAGAAGCTTTTGACTTGTGTGTACAGTGATTTGCTTAAGGGTCATAAACACACTTTCAATCTGCCCAAACCAAAATATGTCACGAAACATATCAGCAAGTTGAAACAAAGAGAGAGAGAGAGACAGACAGAGAGACAGAGAGAGAGAGAGAGACAGACAGACAGAGAGAGACAGACAGACAGAGAGAGACAAAGAGAATGAGAAAGAGTAAATGAGGAGAGAGTGAGGAGGGAGCAAGAGCAGGGAGGGAGGCAGAGGCAGCCATCGTGTTTGTGTGCTAACATGTGCATTTTTGGCATTATCAGCTTTTACAGGCTTTCTGAGCTTAGATATCCTCTATCCTGCCTTACCAAATGGCCTTAGCAAAAGCATCAGAGGAGTTTAGCCTTGTTGCACCCAAAGTTCAGATTTCTTCATGTCCTCCTCACTGCAGATCTCCAGGAGAGAGTGGAATCTCACCAAAATAAAAATTCTTGGGACAGTCTAAAAGCAGAGAGTGATACCTGGCCTATGTAGAGAGAGCACATGGTGGAGAGTTGGAGATGCTGTGATAAGTTGGGTTTTCCTTTCCTAGTTTCTCTCCTTGCTCAGTAACAGGCCCTCTCAGTGGGGGACTGTGGTTAGCAGGCATTGATCTGTATACCAAAGGCAAGACCACAACCGATCAGAAGAAAAGACATGTGATTAAACAGTTCACTGACTACTGGAAACAAAAATCCAGGCATAGCAGGAGGCATGAGCTGTCTCGGCAGACAATGAAAGGCTAAGACTCAGAAGACCTTATTTGAGAGGGTGGCGTGTAGCTCCCCAAAGACATCTAAATAAGATCCTGGATAGAGGTGCATCTGAGAAACACACAAATTCACACTTGAATTATTAAGTGGCTGGAAACAATGCTTTCTTGGAATTGCAAACATATTAGCTGAAGGCCTAAGCAAATCCATGAATGATGTCTGGATTAAATGATGACAAGGAAAACAAAAAAGTCACTCAGACAAAAAAAAAAAAAAAAGAAGCATGTTACGATCTTCCATAGCCTCTAAAAGCCAGCTACTGACCCCCTGCTGAGGTCATATAATGCCCCATAAAAACCACTGCAATCATTATCTTTCCACCACGGGGATGGGGAGGGAAACACAAGTCTACCTCATACTTCAGCTCTGAATGGCAAGCCATTTCTCTATGGCAGAGCTGCTAATCTGGCATACACCTGCGTTGCCAAGGGGAACCTGGCAGCCGGCACCTGCGGCTGCAGCTGCAAACCGAGCTTCCCTGTTGGCAAACACCAAAAAGCATTATGTGAGGTTGGCTAGAGGGCCCAGAGCTGAGAGTGATCCTCTTTCTGGTGCCCTATAGGCATGGTTGGCGGCTGGGAGGGAACACGCTTCTTTGCATGTCATCCTGTCTGCGAACATGACTTTGTTGGGGGGAGCCTCATTAAAGGGAATGTTGCTATTGCAGCACAACGCTGCAACTGCCTCCCTGCTCTCTTGTTTCCTTATCTGTGGAAGACAGGTCTGGAGTGAGGCACCCCCGGGGGCCCAATGCCATTCTGCAACCTCTCTTTCACAGCTCTGCTTTCAGACCTGCGGTAAACACTTCTTAGGTCCATACCAATCTGGACAGCAGCATCCAGATGTAGTGAGGGGATGGCTGGGTTCCACACACCTGATTGGAGCAGTGCTCCCCTCTGATTTCTGACCAGGACTTGAGGCCTGCTCTCATTAACAAGGTGTCAAAAGCCTCCGATTAGCTAGAAGAAAGAGAACTGGAGTTTGGAGATGAACTTTCTCTGCCCCTTCCTATCTTAAGGTGTGCATTCCCACTGGGAGGGGGAAACTGAGGCTTGGATAGTTCATATATGTTGCCTGAGGTCAGAGCTGGTGACATGGGAGGCAGAAGTAGAACCTGGGTATCAAACTGCAAAGCCTTCATTCTTTCAATATCTTCAGGCTGTTTTCTCGAGGAGATAGGAATGGGGTGGGGGCTCTGGCTTTACTGCATCATTTACAGCAGACGTTGGGATGTTTTTACCAGAAGGACATCTGGATTTAATTCTGACAGTTCGACTGGGAAAGATGTAAATTAGGATAACATCTCCATGAGAGTTCAGAAAAACATACTGGTCTCTGATGAAGACTATATATCATTTTAGTCTAAGTAAGAGTCAGCACCAGTCCTGTGAGTTGTCACTGAGACTTCAAACCTGTATATACAGCACTTAAGTGACAAAAAAAGGGCTCCAGTTCTCTTGGAATAAATGGTGTTAGGTTTATGCTAATCAAGCCACAGAAATTGTTATAAAAAGTAAGTAATGATGTCCAGAGACTGATCTGGAGCTTGGTCAGACTAAGGGATGTAGATTTCTTGGGGTTCTATGAACAACTTCAGGGACTTATTGAGATAATGTGGACCAAACCTTGGTAACTGAGGGGCCTGGAAAGAAGGAACCCTACTCATGACACAGAAGGCTCTAGAGGCCTCTGGACATTTCCTGGGAGAAACTGCCATACAGTGTTTGGGAGATACAGAACAAAAAGATTCACTTCCTTGTAGTTCATCCTGGATGCTTTTTCACCCTCAAGGTTTCACAGAGCTCAAGTGGATGATGTGGAGTCAAGACATGGTTTGTCCCTAGTACAGATAAAAACTGTGCTGGTGATTCAGTTGGGGGAAAATTCCCCATTTTGAGTGTTGCCAAGTTTCAATACCTCCAGGTTCAATACACAGCAAATCCGAATGGTGACAGAAACATGGGAAACAGAAAAAAAAAGTCACAGCTAAGCAGTGTTTGGAAATCCTCCATGGGGAAGACCAGGTTGCATCTCAGTACACGGATTTTCTAGGGATCTGATGAAGAATGGTTGTCAGGTGTGTGGAAACCTAAAAAGGCTTTTTCCCCCTGAGAAGAACCCTAAACACATCTGAGAATAAGAGAACAAAAGTGAGACTTTTAGTATTTCTAGAGATGTTTCCTTCTGTTCAGTTATCCTCCCCGACATGTATATAATTTTGTAGTAAGCATGTTAAGAGGAAAACAGAGAGAGAGATATAGAAGAACTCTTGTTTAACAAAGCATGCCACCACAAGTAAAGGGAGAAAAGAAATGTGATCTATTGATCCACTGATGGGATCAGCCATAACTAGGAACTGATTCAGAAGAGATGTCACAGGCGAGGCTAAAGTTGCCTCTGAAGTGAGCTAACTGGAGTAAGAATGAAGGCTTAGATTTCCTTCCACAGCATAGTTGAGGCATGAATCATCTCAGATTTGCAGTTCATAGTGAAGAACTTATTTAGAAGAAATGTGGCATAGCTTGACACAACTTCTTGAGGGATAAACCTCAGGAAAACAGCCTTTTATATCACTGTCTGAGATCAGGCATAGAATTGAACAACTAGATGCATCTCTGATCAATCAACAAATTTCACCTGGAAAGCTTAACCAGCGCAATATAAGGAAATTAGCATCCCTAAGGCCTAAGATTTTGTTGCTATTAGGATTTGAATAGGGTCTTACGCAGCGCGTGTACGCGTACACACACACACACACACACACACACACACACACACACACACATGCACACAGTGATGAGGATTTTTAGTTCATGGTGTCTTCACATATGGAGAGAGAGTCAGTATAAAGGTATTCAAGTGCTATACTTTAAATAGATATACCCCACTCATCCATGAAATGAAAGTTTGTTTGCTAGAATGGCAACAGTAAGACCTGACAGAACTCTTAAGAGGTGGAGTTTAGTGGAAAGTCCTGGGATAACTGGGGATGTATCCTTGAGTTAGACTGTGGGAGCCTCATCCCTTGCTTTTACTATGTGCTTCATGGTTCCTATGGAGAGTAGGTTTATCTGCCACAACCATGTGCTTCCACTGCGACGCTGCCCTCTTCATAGGTCAAAATTGATGAGTTGCTGGATTCTGAAATGGAACATCTAGAGCCATAGGCACAAACTAACTTTTTTTCTTAAAATTTAAATATCTCAGGTTTCTCATTTTAGTTATGAATAGTTCACAAACAAGTTAAGAATGAAGTCATTAGCATACACAGTCCGTCTCAGCATCCTGGCATGATCCTGGAGTAGGAATCACAAATTACATCAGTATGCTAGCATTGTGTATAGGTGAGTGTGATGCTTTGAAAGAAAGTACCTATACATTTGACAATATATTCTCTAAAATTTCAAAATATAAAGGTTTCCCTGGAGTACTTCTGGAGTACTCAGAAGAAATTGTACAAAAGTCTCAGGAAGATCAAGAAATAACTTTAATAATAGCAGCTGGATGAAAGGTGTTATACTGAGCATCTATTCATTTAGTCAAGTGTTTATCATGGCTTTTCTTAAAGGAATAATTATTCATTATCATAGCTGATGAATAATAGTGAACTCTCCCCTTGATTCTTATTCCAACAACTCAAGTCCATAAATAGGTTAGAAGCATTATCCAGTTTCTGCCCAAGTTTCCACTAGATACCCTTAAAACTGGTCTTGACAAGGTAGAATAAACCAATAATCTTCAAGATAAGGCGAAGAAAATCAACAATATCTTGCTAGGTAAGGATTGTGTTGAGGTCTGCCTGAGTGTTTTAAAGAAGGTTTCACAAGAAGTCAGCACAAAATTGGCGGGCATTGCCCTTGGAAACATGTATAGAAGTAAACCTAATAAAGTAAACCTACAGAGATGATGTAGGAAAGACCCATTTCATTCATTCCTGATCATCATTAATTTCACCAGACTAAATCATTTCCAAATGAATAGAAAAGTTCTCAGAGAGGCAAACACCAAATTCCAGAGCTCAGGCCTGTGTTTTCAAAACAGGGGCATGTGCTTCAGGAGGAATGCTGTGTGCTCCGTCTTGTTTATACCATGGCAGAGCATTCAGGAATGTTGGAGAGAGAGAGAGAGAGAGAGAGAGAGAGAGAGAGAGAGAGAGAGAGAGAGAGAGAGAGAGAGAGAGAGAGAGAGAGATCTATGCCTTTCTGTCTTTAATTCCAGACCTGAAAGATCGAATTCTGTAGTGAATTTTTGGAATACTTGGTTTGGGCCTGCGTTTCATCAGTGCGACTACATAGTAGAAAGGAAGAGATGGAGGGACAAGGAGTCAGGGGCCAGATTATGTAGAAATGTATTTGCTTTTTTTTTGCCTCCCTTTCTTTAGAAAGAGAGCAATATATAAAGTTGCAAGTCTCCTGGGAGAGCTTTTCAGAGGTATGTGCTTGGAGGTGATTTCAGGCAGGTTACTGATATTAAACTTTTGATACAGGAGGGGAGATTTATATAATCACACAATCTGAAGATGAAAGAAGGGAGATCCTGCTAAGGCTGCACTTCATTCAGTACCTTGACTTCATTATGAATTCCCCCAAAGACTCCTTGTGAATGCAGGGAGCATGGTGCAAAGAACACTGTCTTAGGAGTCTAAGGTCCATTTGGCTTTTCCCCAGTATACCATCCAGGTGTGTCTGCTAAGTTTCAGCTTTTCCAACTATAAACAGAGGATAGAAAGATCTTCATTGCAGGGATTTTGCAAGGCTTGAATTAGAATGCATCTGTAATGTCCAGAAAACAGGATACCAGAGTTTAGAGGCAATGTCCTTGGAAAATGACAGTATCAGCAGTCATAGAGTGAGAAATGTCATTAAAGTACAACAGTCCTGGCCTTTCCTCAAAGGAAAGTCATTTCTACAAATATAACAAACTCTAAATTTTGCTGAAACACAAGTGGGAATAAACAGCTCCCTGCCTCCTCTGGTATCCCATCCTATATTGACTGTTCTTCTTTCTAGAATGTTCTTTTTATGACCCTTTAGTGGAATCCTTCTACTTCCCACTTCTACAGAATCCTGACATTTTACTATCAACAACCAAGCAATGAAACTCTGCATGCATTTATTTCATAGCAAGTACTAGCAGAATGGAATTTCAGTAGGGAATTGAAGAATCATAACACAGGGTACAACACAGAGTTCTGTTTAACAAGGGGGCGATGGTGGTGGTGGTGGTGCTGAAACGGTAACCTGCACTGATCTTAGACCACAGCAGATCACAGGCTGAGTGCAGAGGTGGGTACAGAAATATCCAGCAAACAGACTTTGGGTAGATTGATTAGTAGAAACTAGCCCACTAAGCAAACACCCTCTCTGCAGCTAGTCAGGCTAGTTTCTGTTGGGGTTACTACTGCGTTTACAACAATCTGAATGTAAATTATGTTTTTCCTCTAGATGTGTGTTTGTGTGTGTGTGCGTGTGTGTGTGTGAGATATGTGTTGTGTGCATTTCTTGTAGACTATTGATTTAGTCATATACAACTTTGACAACATTTTGAAACTGTTTAAAGTCTTAGTTATATTCTTTTACAACTTTTGTGCTTGTTTTGTTTGTTTTCTTTCTCCAAGGAGAAAATTATAGTATGAAAACTTATAGAATTCTGAGAGGTTTCTTTATCAAGCCTAAAATGTGTGCCGGTTTTGTTTGTTTGTTTGTTTTTTGAGACAGGGTCTCACTGTGTAGCCCTGGCTGGTCTGGAAGTGGCTATATAGACAAAGCCAGATCTGAACTAACAATATCTGTCTACCTTTGCCTCACAGGTGAGTACTGGGATTAAAGATATGACCCACTATGCTCAACAAAGTGTTTCTTTTCAATCAAGATTTAGACCCATTTTGAACTGATTTGTTGGGTGGGAGAGCACTTTTTAGGACACACAAGCTTTTCCTAACTGGGGTTTCCATCCCATGATGCCCTGTTTTCAGGCAACAGTGTCTACAAAAGGCTTTGGGGGAAATATATAGATTCCGAGGGTCCTGGGGCCTCACTAGAAACCCTGGTTTGCTTCTGACTGGTTCTCACTCCTGGCTTGTTTTTTATCCTTGTGAATAAAGCCTCTGGACAGTTACTTGATGGTCACATAATTTCATTTTGTTTGTCCAATTCCAAAGGGCTATATGCGTCCTCAGTTACCAAGACCAACTTCTCATTCCATTCTTTTCTGCTTTGACTGAGAAGTCTGCTGTAAGCATCACCATACCAAATCCAGTCCCTCACCTCTTGTTCAAGTGGCTTTTGTGACCATTTGCTGGTCTCCATACTGGCTAGGAATGCAGAGTGCAGAACTATAGGAAGGCTTCTATGCAAACAGATAGATCAGTTACATAATTCAACATTGCATGTGGAGGTGAGAATATTGACAACTCTAATCTCTGGCTAGAAGGAGAAAGAATGTGTTAACTCATTCTCCTCTGGTTTAAACATCTTAATTTGGCTTTTTATTTTCACAATGATTGGCCATGAGTTCTTTTAGTCTGTAAACTACCAGTGGCAGGGCATAACTATTATTGTATTAGTTTTGTTGTCAATTATCCAGCTCTACACAATGCAGAATAATGTTCTAAAAATATTGTGGGAGGTTGTGAATATACAGACAAATAGAATCAACCTGTTGGAAATGGGTTATTCAGGTCAGTCAATTTCAGCACTGCAGGCTCACTGGTAACTATTATCTTCTCCTTAAAAATGGATCATAAGTTATGAGGGGTCACTCTAAGTTATCCTTTATAGAAAAAGCCCCGCATTCATGATGCATTAACATTAGATAAAATAATGCCAGTTAAGTAGATAACATACTGCACACATCCTGGGGTGCTTTCAGCTTTCATTTAGTAGATAATGTTAAGATTTCAGGCTTCTCACTTTCCCTTTCTCTCATACTGCATAATATAAATATTAAGATCTCTATAAGAATAATTTTTTAAAATTTGCACTTCAGAATGCCATTCTTACGTTGGCTTTTGAATACTTTTTAACATGCTTAATTTTCAGTGAATTAGGATCTATTTGTGTGTGTGTGTGTGATGTGTGTTTTCTTATGCACCTTTACAATGGTGCAGTGATTTAGTCACGTACATTTTTTGTGTTTTCAACCTGAGTCAGTTCCTATGAGTCTGAAATTGCATATCACAGGAAGATTTCTGATTATTGAGACCTGCCTATTACCCATGACATTATTATCAGCCTACTTAGAGCTTTATATGAATAGGTTTCACAGTGCTTAAACAGAGCTAAATAAATAATAGCAACAAGAAAAAAGCCAATGACTTTTGTGAGTTTGAATGGTGGGATCTGCTTCACATAGCCTTCATTGCCGCTAGAAGGATGTTTAGGATTAGTAACTGCTTACTGGACAGGAATCAAAGGGTTCTACCTCCAAATACATAAGGCTAACTGTTTCAATACAAAGTGTTAGCAGCTCTGATTTAGCTGGCTCTCTGGAAACCCTTAGGTGTGTCTTTTCTTTCTCATCAAGCCATCGAACATGACAAGTCAGAATGGGAGAATAACACATGTTTTCTATTAGAGTTATTTTAGAATTACTTCTCTTAAGCCATCAACAAATAATATTGTTTATAGAGTTCCAAGACTACAGGTGGGTGTGCAGTAAGCCAATACTCATGTGGGTTTATTTCTTTGTTTCCAATTTACCCTAGCAACATCACGGTGCCTTAACTTTAGACTGTGAACCAGCCCAGAGAAGAGGCCAAAAGGCCTGCTGGTGGGTGAGTATGTTCTCTAGCACTTTCCCATAGAGCCCCGAGAGCTTTCTACTGATTCAGCTGGATACGGAAAGGAGCGGCAGTCATACAGAACAGTGCTAGAAGCTGTGAATACAGTCAATATGTCTACTGAGTGGTGCATATGTTTGACTAGAAACAGACACATGGATTTATGTGTATACAATTGCATTCTGTGCAGGGCAAGTGAGTTCTCTGGGGTCTTTGATGCTCACTCCACCCTGAAGAGACAAGCTCTGTAAGCAGGCAAAGGTAGAGAGAAGGTATCCCGGAGTAGTCATGACTGGAACAAGGTCCTTAAGAGGGAGAATCAATAAGCTGGGCTACCAGCGTTCTCATGTTTTCCATGCACTTCCTCCTGGAAATGCTGTAGTCCAGGGATGACTTAGCCTTCAGTTTCTCATCCTCTCTGGCCGAGTCACCATTGTTTTCTGACCACATGACTTATGGGACACTGGTCTGGCTTTTGACAGCCCCAAAGAATTGTAAGGATTGCAATCTCCCTTCCTTTTAACTAGTGCAGGGGCTGCTAAACGGCCTCTTACTGCCTTTTTGCGTGTGGTGCTAATTAACGTGATCCAAGTTACAATATGTACTAACGATTCCAGTTTTGTTACTTATTTAATGAGCTTTGTGGGATTTGAACATGAGGCTCAAAGTAGCAGGGGAAACCTCATAATTAGTTTCAATTACAAGAAGTTCCTGTGCATTAAGACCATGTGAGGAACTGCAGAGGGAAAGAACTACCAACCAGATACAAATCACTAATTTTGTTTCATTTATTTATATACTTATTTTCTTCCTAATTAGTACTGATTGGCTTATGATCCTAATTAATGCAAAGGAATTTGGAATGGTATACAATGGTATGGCTCAGAAGATGCCAGCATGTACAACTGCTAAATTATTGCTAATTGTTATTTACATGGGGCCTGGAAGACTAAGTAATGCAATAGCTAATTAGTATTAAAGATATGGTATCCATTTCCAATTTACACCAATGAGATAGAGATCAAATGCTCGTTAGTGTAAAAAATTCAACCTTTAGCATCTTGAGGACTGCATTATTGTATAGTGACCTTGACCTAAAGAAAACAGTTTGCTATTGTCTTCAACAACATCTTGCCAGGTCTTGGCTAGAAGTTTGCATAAAAGTTACACAGGAACTCTCAGCATCATGCTGGCAGTGAGCTGCAGTACTTAAGGATTGGAGGTAGAAGCCAACTGGCAAATAGGCCAAACATAAGGAGTGGGTTTATTTCAATCCTGGCAGGTGTGTGCTTTTTGGAGAGTGGGGCGTTGAGGTGGCAGGTTTCTGAGAATGACTAAGCCCATGCTGACGTCTTGGTGCCTGTGAGAGTAGCATGAGTTCTAATTGGTCTTTAATAATAATAATAATAATAATAATAATAATAATAATAATAATAAAGCTCAGAGTCAGATATTAGGGGGTGAAAACTGAATGACCACTAGAGTTCTTACCTCTACAAAAATCCTCAGACTGAAAAGAGTCCTGAGCTCCTGTCTCCTCCCACCTACATTTCTCTCTTCGCCTAGTCATTTCACTTCCTGTTTGTTAGTACAGACCTCTAGACCCCTATGGTTAGCTGGTGGCTAGCTCTGCACTCTGATCTTCAGGCAAGCTTTATTTGTTAGCATACAAAAAGGTATCACCACTCATCTTTCTAGACAAATAGCAATATCAATTCTAAAGAGCCAGGATCAGTCACCAGCACAGGTGCAGATGCTGCTATGGGGTGTGAAACCGAGAAACAGAAACCTCTTCTCTCAAAAGGTCCTGAGCTGCCCGGACTGTACCATGTTCTAATGGTTAACATTGCTGTGCAAAATATGCAAGAAAATATTTGAAGGGCTAGAGGGGTTGACACTGATCATGGTTGCAGAGGTTTCAACCCATTGCAGAATATGGCAGAGCACCGGAATTCATTGCAGGGCAGGCATTTCCCTTTTTTTCCTCCTTTATTCGACCTGGTCCTCTCTAGCCTAGGGGATTGTGCCACTCACACTCAAGGCATCTTTCTCTTTTAGTTTACCATTTCTGGAGACATCCTCACAGGCACACTCAGAAGGCCCCTTTACTAATATTCTAGACACTTCTCCACCTACTCAAGGAGACAAGTACCTGTCCTGCATCCCTTTTCACTGATGATGTGCTGTAGTACCTATTGCTTTGTCCCATGCTTCCTGTGTTGAATCAGTCTCTATTCATCTCCCCCTTTCTTCTTGCCTTTGCTTCTGTCTTAGATAACAGATTGGAATATTAGCCTGAAGACCAGACTCATTTGGTGCCGTGCAGTCAGTTCAGCCAGGCAACTGTCAATGAATAGAGCTTTGCAATGGATATATCTCCCTTGGCTGGATGAAGACACAGAAGGGCCTTTTAAACTCGTTTTCATCCCTCCCTCCATCCCTCCTATTTTTCTCTCCTTGTGTGCACATATGTGAGTGTATCTACCATGATACATACTTGCAGAGCTCAGAATACAGGAGTTAGTTCTCTTCCCACTCTGTAGGTTCTGGGATTTGAACTTAGGTTGTCAGGCTTGACTTCGCAGCAAGTGGCTTTACCCTTTGATCCAAATTGCTGGGCCTCTATGGGCACCATTTCAAGGCAGTTATCCCATAGAGAAACCAAAGACAGAAAACAGTTTCCCTTGAGATCCCGGAGCTCTGCAAGGTGAGCTCCGTTTCTGGAGTTCCGAGTACTCTGTCCCTTGAGGACCCCTTGCTCGCACACCGCCAAGGTCAGTCAGCTGGAATCTCGGTAACCCTAGCATTCTTTTTGAAAGACTTTCCATGCTTAATTTTGTCTAAGATAAACATGGCTCCTGGCCATTAGGTTTTATTTAAGCATGCCATTCTTTGTAACCTATTAAGCATTTGATATTTTTAGAAAGAATGAGCAACAGGACTCAACAATTGGCCAGTTGGTGTTTGATAGGACACATCCCGATTAGGAGCCTCCTGTAGGCATGTTGAGATTTTTGCCATGGGCCTATTGAATTTTGACCTCTCCAATCGAAAACAGACATTGCTTAACAAATGTGGTAAGTTCATTCGGCAAAGTTACACGTAACAAGCATACATAAGCTCACACGCAGCGTGTGTAAATATTTCCCAAATTTCTGGAAAACTGATTTGACATACATAGGAAATTTATGACACAGACTTTAAAAAATAAACAGATTAGTCACATCCAGAAAACTCAGTTCTATGTGTTTAAAAATTTCAAGGCATATACCAGTAAAGCAATACATATACAGTTTATGTATATTCCATACAGATATGTAAACTTAAAGCAGACAATGTTATACATATAATTGCATACATTGTATATGCATCAGTCTGTACATTTAAAGAATGTATTCTTCATGTATTTGTATTTATAAGATGTATATACTTACATTTATAAAATAAACAGGTAGGTCATTTATCCACTATCATTTGCTGAAGAGAATAAACTATTTTCAAGTCTTCTAGCATTCCCATGTGTGTTAATCTAAATGTCTACCCGGTGCCTTGGGTAAAACTGAGAAAGTCCCCCATTCTTTTAGTGGAGATGCAGTCTCACAGCAGAGCATAAAGGGTAGACTTGTGTGTCAATAGCTTCTTGGTTGTTCAACATGCTGTCATATAAACAAACTACACACACTCTGCTGTTATTTTTTTGTCATACCATTTAACTGGGGTGCAAATTAAATCTAGGGCTATAAGGTGAGACATACCTTGTTAGGTAAATGTGTCATGGTCATTAGAATATACTTTGTATCAATATGATTAGAGAATATCTAGAAGTTATCTTTATGGTACTACCACCACCTATATTGTCTACGCTGGATCAAAACACTATTATGTAAAACACAAATGTATATATCTATTTCTAAACTATATGTTTTCAATATGTGTAGTTTTATGGAAATGAAGTTATGTTCTTTGCTTATTCAACATTCTGCTTCTAAAATTCATTCAAGCTGACTTCTGTGGGTGCTGTTTATTCATTGTTTTGGCTAATTGTCCTTCTGTTTATGAATAATCTATCATTTATCCATCCATATTCCTGTAAATAGACTCTCAAATATGTGCAGTTATTACAAAAATATATTTCCTGTGAACACTCCAGTATTTATCTTTGACATATATGTTCTCTTTCTCAGGGGGAGGTAGCTAAGAATAGAACTTCTGGATAAGAAATAGATACCTTAGTTTCATCTTTAATTTTACTAACATAATGCCAAAATATTTTCTAAAATGGCAAAGTGATGACTTCACTAGCAGGGCATAAAGAATTGCTTTTCACATTCCTCAACTTTTAATACATTTTAGTTGTTGGCGATATGGTGATAACACCTTTAGTTTGCACCCATCTAAGATGAATGAATCTGGACACTTTGCTTGGCACTTATCATGGGTAATCATCTTCATAGATTATGTTAGATTGCTTTCAAACACGCTTACCTTTTCCTTGTTATATTAGAGGGCAATTTTATTCTGACTTACTTTTTTGGTTATATGACATAGATTTTAAGTTATTATTATCTTGTTCAAGTCTTTTGATAAATATTTTCCATTGAGATGGTTAGATTTATTAATTATTTGAGACTTGCATTTTTGTCTTAAAAGTTGTTTTCTTAGTTTCTGTTATTATAATTGTGCCATTTCTAAAACTTCACTTTCACCTAACACATTTAATTATATAATTCACCCAAAAGAGACTATAATGGCTTGTAAAAACTCCTTCATCTTTTCTTCTTAAGAGGAAGCTGGTTATTCATTTACCCTTCATGTTGGTGTCTTTTATGAATTTTAGAATTATATTAGGAAGTTATAAAAACTCTGCCTTAGAGTGCTGTGCCTGGGGTTCTGCTGAATCTTTAAATCAATTTGGAGAAAACAGATACCTTTATTTTACTGATTTTTTTCTATTCACCAATACATACTTTTTTAAAATATACTTCAGTAAGTGTCATTTTAAAAATGAAATCTTATTTATGTTTAGTCAGGTGTATTTCCAGCTAGTAGATTTTTTTGTTATTATCAACATACATTTCTGTGTTCTGGCAATAAATAGAGGTGTATATCAAAGGGATTTCCTTCCTTATTTCATAACTGTCATTTCTGTTTTACTTTTCCTACCTTTGATAGGTTGTGAATTTTTCCTAGATTTCAGTAAATCATATCACAAGCAAATAGTGCTGTTATTTCTATTTTCCAAAGCTATAATTTCTATCTTTTACTGACTTATCTTGCTACCTGAAATCCATCGTGCATCACTGAGTAACTGTGATGATAAGGGCTTCTTTTCTTCTTGCCAATATTAAACGGGAGGCTTTTTGATACTTCACTAGGTATGGTGCCCACTATATATTTTTTCTTGATATTCCTCATCAGAGGTAAATTTCTTTCTAATCTTAGTCTATTGAGATCTTTTTTTTTGTTTAACACAAATTAATGTTGTGTGTTATCAATGGCTTCCTCAACAATCCATAGATTCATTTGGCTTTTTCCTCTGTTCTGTTAATATAGGGAATAAGTGTAAGAAATAAAATATTTAACATTATATAAAAATTATATTCCTTGTTTAGATAAGACCTGGTCAGGATGGATTGTATTTTTAATATACTTCTTTGCTGGGTCTTCTATTATTTTGTTTGGAAATTTTATGTTTATATCTATGAATAAAACTGGCCTGCTTTTTAAGGCAAAAGTCGTTAGTCGCTATTTTGGCTGATACTGATATAATCACATGATATTGATACATTTGAGCTTTCTTCCTTGCCCTTACTTTTATAATTACTTTTCTGTCTTTATTGAATAATTGTACCGGGTAGGCTTTTATGTCAATTTGACACAGAATGCACAGAACCTTTTTAGAAGAAAGAACCTCATTTGTGAAAATGCTCCTACCTGTTTGTCCAGTGGTATATTTTCTTGACTGATAATTGGTGTGTGGGGCCTTATTTCATAGGAGTGATGTGACTCCTGTGTGGATAATCACATATGGTATAAGAAAGCAGTCTGGGCAAGCAACTAGGAGCAAGTATGTAGAAGCACCTGTCCATGGCCTCTGCATCCTTCTGCCTCGAAGGTTCTGCATAAACTTACACCCTGACTTCCCTGTGTGTTGGGGTGACTACCAGCTGTAAGATGAAGTGAATGTCCTCCTTCCCTATTTGCACATTTTGACTTTTCATTCCTATTTGGTATAGGTATTTCTATATTCTGTGATAATAAATTTGAAGATCTAGAAAAGACATTTAAAAACCTTTTATATTTGTTGTTATTGATTTATTTTGATTATCTATGGTTTAGGTTGCATAACATTTAGGCTTTTGTTTTTGTTAATTTTGATCATTTTTTCTAATTGTATTTTCCTCTTTGATATGGTATCACACATTTAATATTTTCTGTTTAATAGCCACTATAGACATCATATAGCCCAAATGTGATGCAACGACACTGAGGGTATCTGAAATATTTTTATAAAAATTAAATAATCAGACATTTTAATCTGATTACTCTTTACATTATCCATTACTTGCATCTTTTTCTTCACATTACAAGTTGAACATTGTTTTTATAACTTGTACCATCAATGTCTGGTATTTATATAGGAATTTAGCAACATTTTCCTCTTTAAATGTTCACTATAGCCAAGTACACATTTTAGAATTATCTCTAGGAAAAAAACATAATGGTAGCAAACAATCTCAATTTTGTTTGCTTTAAATATTTTTATTCTTATCCTTGACAAGTATCAACACTGAATTGTTTCCTAAATGCCTAGGTATATTTTTTCCTTCTTTTGAAGGTAGCTTTCAAATGTCTACAAGATTTATTGTAACTGCTGAATAGTTGACCAAATGGTTAAGGATATTTTCTGTTTATCTTCTTTACTTGTTTGTTTATCTTTCCCTTCTCATTGGTGCTTGATTTTGCTGAACCTATACTAAAAACGAAAACATATTCTGTTTGAAATTCCCTGACCTTTCTGGTCCTATATATCTATAATTAATTACTGATATTGTGAATCATTAGGGCTGATACATTCAAATATTGTCCTTCCTTCCTTTTATTGTTTTCTGAGCTTCATTAAAATATCACTGTTTATTCTATAACTTCCAACCCCTGCTTAGATTATCTCTAGTTCCTTTGGACATGTAGTCCATCTAAACTTTCTTATGTTTCTAAGATTCCTTATCTCCACATTTACAAATTTAACAAGTCTCACATACTTTTTGGCTTCTACATGTTTTATTTCTGAGAGCTTTCAAAATGTCCAGTATTTCTTAAAGTAGAAAATATTCATGGGGTTTTAGCTCCCAATGCCCTTCCCATCTCATTCCTTCTTAGTCTTATTTAGGCAATCAGACCCAGTGTGTTGTAAGATCATGTACAGTACATAGTGTGCATCTTTTATTGAAGAGTCACCTTAACAAGTTTATATTTAATATATGAAGTGATGTAAATTTTAAGCCAATCTTAATTTCAAACCCTTGGCCAAAAGTTCAGAATGTGATATCCTTATTTTCCCTTTTGTGTATCTTATTTTTTTCTAACAGAGTACACAAATTTCAGCATATTCAAAGAAGAATTATCTAAGTTTCAAAGAGAAAAGGCTAAGAATTGCTTATCTTAGAGGAACATCAACAATTGAAAAGTCTCCCATTTATAGGAAGTTGCTGGAGATTATGCCTGGGAAAATGCAAAATGAACTATCCCATGAGAAACAGTACATACAACCGTATCTGCCCATATGAGCCTGTCCAAGTGGGTTGAGCTGAACACTTACATCTC